AGCCAAACACAAACACACCCCAGCTGCGATTGAAACACTTATAATGGAAAGTACAAAGAAAATGCAGAAGAGCAAGCAAATGAAGATTAGGGAACAATCTCTGGTGGTAATTTTGTACGGTTTCTCCTTAAAACACAATGTTAAAGAATGGATCAGATGCTAACTTAGGGTGCAACACAACTTAAGAGTGAACTCTTCCAACCACTAATTCTAACCTCATCAGCATCCAAGGGCTGGTGTGAGTTCTGGCTGCCAGCATATGAGCCAGTGGGCCTTCCTGGCCTCAGCTCTTCACATGTAGGGTGGAGACAACAAAGACTTTGCACAGGCTCAGGCCTGGGCATCCAAAGCACTGTGCTCAGTGGTGTCTGAAACAGAGAGTGCACCTCAAAATGGTGACTCTTGTTTTTCTAAGCATAATCCTTAAACATCTTTTTCAACTATTACTCTGTTCTCATTCATATATTTGCTCTAATATTCAAAATTAAAAGTGAATAATGCCCAGATCACAGCATACTGGCAGGCTTTGATCTTTAGGTGGCTGGGAAGAAGTGAAGTGCCCTCCTGACTTTCCTGCTGGCCCACCGTGGGGGGAACGTGGTGGAAAGGGACTCCAGCAGGTCCCTGCTATATTCCAAGGCAGCCCTGCCTGGCACAAGGAACCGCACCCCTATAGCCCAATCCCAGTGAGGAATCTGCTCTACTGGGTAGAGGGGCACGGATGGTCAACCAGGGTCCTTGTCTCTCCATAAGCTCGCCATCTGATGGGTTCCCAGGGAAGTCACCTTCCTTTGGTCCTAAAAACGCATGACTATCACATAAATCTTAGCATAAAAACTAAACTGCTTCTAACTGATCTCTTTCTAGTAGCAGCTTTTTCATATCACCCTAAATCAACTTAAAAGCTGAAGCACATATATTCACAAATACAGATCGTCCTCAGGTTATGTCGGACTCGACGTATGTCATTTCGTGGTTACGTTGCCATCTCCCCTTTGTTTTGTTTTTTTTTAAAAAAAGGTTGCCCTAACTGATTTGGCTCAGTGGATAGAGCGTCAGTCTGTGGACTCAAGGGTCCCAGGTTCGATTACGGTCAAGGGCCTGTATGGGGGTTGCAGGCACATCCCAAGTAGGGAGTGTGCAGGAGGCAGCTGATTAATGTTTCTCTCTCATCGATGTTTCTAACTCTCTATCCCTCTCCCTTCTTCTCTGTAAAAAAATCAATATATTTAAAATAAATAAATAAATAAAAAGACAAAAGGCCCCTACCCTCCTGCATTAAAAAAAAAAAAAGTTGTCATTTTGACGTATGTACATATGTGCTTTATGTTTTTTATTATTTATTTACCACAAGTAAAGGTCAGGAGTTGTTATCTTTTAAATTTTTTTTATTATTTCACTTCACTACTGCTGTGTATGTGCTCCATGTGAGTGACGTAGGTACTTATGTAAGTGGTTTCTGACTTAGGGGCAAAAATCGCGTTATGTTGCGCCATAGGAATGGATCTCCGACGTAACCCGAGGACCTACTGTATACACTAAACTCTCAAGAGAAGTACTATTATAGACCAGTTCTCCGTTAGACAACGACATGGTTGGTAGAGGCCCAAAGGAATGTATTGAACTGGTTAAACATAACAATTATAAATGATATTACTAAAAAGCCTGAAAAAGTAATATGCTTAAGAGGGTGGAACACCCTGCAACTTGTATCAATACCCCAATCACCAAGTGTAATTTTAAAAAAAGGAAAGAACATAGATAAACCCAAGAAAATCTCTGCTCAAATCACCACATATTTAATATGTGGATCTGCATTAGTTCTTCAGTCAATGGGCTGGAATTAGTACACTGTGCTGATATAATTAAGTGCACATGAAGTCCTAGAAATAAAAAAAGCGGGCAATTTTAACAAGTCAATCAGTGAAGTTCAGAGCTGCAAATCTAAGTCCTACTTACCCGGTAATTCTGGTACGGTTCTGTTTCTGTATATTGCACCCTGAAATTCTCATACTGCCCGCCACGCCAGAACCGGTCTATTTCATAATCATAATAAGGATCTGCATAAGGCTCAAGTCTGAAAACAAAAACAAAAAAAGTAAATCTTTTCACTTAAAAATAGTATTGCAAACATACTACATAAAAATGTTAACAAAAAGAATCCAATACTACGTTAAGAAAATAATATAGCATGACTACATGGGATTTATTCCAGGAATGCAAAGTTGAGTCAGTATTAGGAAATTTATGAGTAAATCTCATATGATAATACACCTAAAGAGAAAATTAAAAGGATTCCATCTACAGATGAAGAAAATGTCTGTGATGAAAATTCAATACCTCTTCCTGATGAAAATACTAAAGAAAATAGGAAATAATGCTTTCTTAATATATTCTAGAATAAAGCCAGCATCTTACTTCAGGGGAACAGGAGAGAAATTTTTTAAGATTGGGACAAGGCAAGGAGGCCTGCTGCTTCCTCAATGACCCACCATTGTGCTGAAGGCACTGTCAATGCTGGCCGATTGAGAAAAATTAACATATAGAAACCAAAGGCCTGGGGCAGGGAGGGCTAGAAGGGGTCAATGGGGGTAAAAGGGGTCATAATACTTTCAATAATAAATATTAAAAAAAAAGAAACCAACGCCTTCATATACACAAATAATAACTAGTTAGGAGACAGAGGGTAGAGAAAATTTCATTTTAGCAAGAAAGAAAAAAAAATACTTAGGAACAGCCCTAGCCGGTTTGGCTCAGTGGATAGAGCATCAGCCTGTAGAGTACTGGTTTCAATTCCAGTCAAGGGCACATGCCCGGAGTGCAGGCTCAATCCCCAGTAAGGGTCGTGCAAGAGGCAGCCGATCAATGATTCTCTCTTGTTATTGATGTTTCTAGCTCTCTCCCTTTCCCTTCCTCTCTGAAATCAATTAAAATATATTAAAAAAAATACTTAGTAACAAAAACATTTGCCCAGAAATATGCAGAACCTACTTGAGGAAAACTTTCAAAACACTCTTGAAAGACACAAAAGTCATGGCCATCTCTAGGCATCTTCATGGCCTTCCACTGGCTGCTTTCTAGGAAATCTCTCCTCTGGTGTTTCCAGTGCCCCTGGCAGAGATAATCCAAGGCTGGCTCTGCCAAATGATACAGTTCTTTTTCATCCCAAACAGTCAGACATCTTTCTAACAACCTAACCTCACACCACTCAGATGATTATTTTTTAAAATATACTTTTATTGATTTCAGAGAGGAAGAGGGAAAGATAGATAGAAACATCAATGATGAGAGAGAATCATTGATTGGATGCCTCCAGCAT